GCTATGTCAAAACATCATATGTCATGATTATGTTTGCATCATGACATCTGAACCAATTTTGTAAGTTGCAGCATATGCACGATGAAGTCCTATACACAAGGGTATCACTTTCACCCGTTGCAGAATTCTCACTGGTTCCCAATCTTTCACTGTTTTTATAAAATTGTTCATTCACCTATTTGATTCTGTAAGTGAACAGCAAAAATTTACTCAGAACAATGGACCTCTTAACTTCCTCTCCTTCTGAATCCCACTCCTCCCTCTAGTTAGGGAAGACTGTGATTGTGTTTTGAGAATATAGAAAGGTCCCTTAGCCAGGAAGCCACTAAGAATTAATCCACTACAGCTACAAATCTGTATAGCTACATAATAACACCTTAACAATATGGTGACAAAAATATTTCAGGGCCTTAAAAATGATGTATTACTGTAATGCCTTCATAAAAATGATGCATTAGACATTTTATTTAGTTAGATGTTATAGTAATGAATGACCTTTTTTTTTAAAAAAAAAGAATTTATTTTCCATACTGCCCTTCAAAACATGTTGATTATAATATTTATTATCTCATTAAAGTTAATATGACTTAAGTTGGTCTTGGTGACTAATCATTTCAGCAATGTTGCTTATCCCAGAATAATTTATTTGGAATACTGACTCATTATAAAGATGGAAGATTAAATTAAAATTGCTTTTTGTAACTGAAATAACTCCTATAAACTGCTCCCTAAGGGAGAGGCTTGCATTTTTTTAAAGAGAAAAGAAATATTAGATTTGAATCCTATTCTTTTTAAATAATGAATAGTAAGTACCTCTTGGCACTAACCATTTTCCTGACAATCTCATTCATCCCCACCTTATTTGTTCTCTCTCCCTGTAATGATATAGTTTGCCTATTTTCCCTGTATGTTCCCACATCTCCAAAATCACACTAGCACCTTTTCCTTCTCATTCTATTAGCTTTAAAAATAATGCAGATTCAGTGCAAAGATGCTTTTTCCACTTGGTTCTACTGAAAGCCTCCAGAAGGTGATGGGGGGGGGGGTGGCAAATGAATGTATATGGCACATTTGTGGATTCTCTGGGCTGTGAGAGCCTGGACTTGTGTTTGATAGCTGAGGCATGATCTTTTGCATATTCTAACACTGAAGTAATGCAGATGGAATATGCGTGCGTGTGTGTTCCAAATTAATGGTTGGATTTTTTCTCCCGTTTTATGTGCTACCTTATTTCTTCTCTAGCCATGAGTTCAAAATTGGATGGATAAATAATATATTGGGTTAACTGAGGAGCAAAATAGATCAAATTAAACCCATTTAGTTTTAATTAATTAACAATCAAAGAATTTCCCTGAAAAAGTCACTTTGGGATGTGTTTGAGAGGAAGGGCATGAATAGCTTCTGGATTTTTTCCCCTCCTTCTTCCCAGCTTCCTAATTTGGGAGATTTAATTATTTCATCGTATTTATATTGTTTTGGTCTGGCTGTAGGTGGTTTCAGAAATAATAATTTTTGTTTGAATCAGAAAAAGACCAAAACATTTTAGTATCATTCTCACTTGAGTAACAGGAAAAATATGTCTGTCATCTCCATGTAATACTTGCTAAAAAATCTGCTCAATATTTAATCTTATATATACAATGGAATTTGATAGATTCCTAAAAATCTAATATCAATACTTTCCCTCTTTGTTGGGGAAAAAGCTTGATAACAGATAATACCATAGAAATTACAAGAATTTGCACCCTACAAATTCTAGAAAGCAAATCTATATATTGAAGATTGTCACTTCTGTATCATTTAGTATTTGAATTCTAGATCTTTCACGTTTTAAAATTTCACTTTTTGTACTAAAAATATTTTTTTTGAATACCAAATCTTCTATGTAGAGTAAAATGAACATAAATGAAAATTAGTTTTCCTAAATGGTTAAAGTTACAAAACCCACCAGCCACAGGGATGTTTTCAAGAATTCCTTACTTGTGAAAAATTCTTAGGTTATTGGATATAATTTCATTTAGCATATAAGTATTTTTAGCTCCAATAAAAATGGCAGAAATACGAGTGTCTATTAAAGGAAGAGCCAGATGGCATCAAAAGTTCATTCCAATTCTGAATTTTACTATTATTTTACAAAGATACTTATGTTTGCTTCTTTAGTTATAACATATGCTAAATAATAGTGTACATTGCAATATGGTAAAACTACAGTTGCCTTTAGCTTAGGAAAAACACCCATCAAATTTGTGAAATGTGAGTTCACCATACTCTTATTCATAGTGTTTTCCTTGTATAGGCATGTATTCATAAAACACAAACATAGTGCAGGATGGAGTTAACATTACTAGCTATAGATTATAAAGGTAACAGAGATGCAACTGCCACAAAGGGACTTTAAAATACGTAAGCAGTTCTTACATGCCAATGATATTTTCCTCTTGGACAATGTGACTGCTGAGACATCATTACAATTCTGTACCAACTTGCATGATGATAATTGCATTAAACATAATGGAACTTGCATCTGAGTAGGCAGAAATGCAGTTATCCAACCCTATTTCAAAGATTCAAAATTATTCATCCTGAAATATTAGTAATACTGCCTACCCATTAAGAAGAGAGAGATGGGTTTATTTACTTACAAAAGAGGTTGGCAGTTTTTTTTATGGCCAGATAATTCACTTAATATTTTGAGCATACCCAGTGCTGCAAATGAGTGTACCAAATAACAAATATGGAAAATGAAAGGATTGTCTTAGCTTTAGAAGTCATTTAGGGAGTGCTTTTTTTCTGTTCTACTTTTTCTTGAAACAGTTATATAGGAATGGAAGCTCCATGTCCTCATCAGATAATAAACTTTTTAAGTCACAAATTATTCCAAAAGTTTTTATTATTATTAGAAGCAATCTTTTTAGCAGAAAAATACAAAGCAGTTATGAAGTTAACTATACCAGTCCTATATAACAATAGAATTCCTGAGTGAACAAGTGGGAGGATTTAAGTAGGCAGATTTAAAAAAAAATGCTGAAATTAATTCAATTACCTAGCAAGTATTGTGGCTAAATCAAAGAAATATTAATATGAATAATAAGGAAAAATTAAGCACACACAGATAAATTATTAGCAAGCAACACAAATGGCACTGCAAGATTTTAAGTTGTTCTGGTCTCAGTTTGAGGTATCACAAGGCATACCGAAAGAGAAAAGAACCAAAAGATCCCCTGTCTTGTGATTAACAATATAGATGAATCCACTGACCATTTATGATTCTTAACAGTTTTCAAAATCTTGTCGAAGAAGCAGGCTGCTAATTCTTGCCTGGTTCTAAGATTAAACTCCAGTGTTTGATAGAACATCTGGCTTTAGTTGTACAATTCCACGTCAAGCTTTCAATCCATGTTGAATTGAGAATGGAAGGAAGAAAGGAGGCAAACCTCTGCAGTTATCTATTGTTGTTTTAAAATAATAAACTGGCTTTGAACTGATCCCCCTTCTCATTATGAAAAGGTAGTTGTATGCAATAAACCTTTTAGTATATAATAGGTAGTGATCATTTGAATTCAGCCCATGTTACATCTGAATTATTAGAATCCCTTAAACTCCAGGAAGTCAGTGAGAGAATTTTATTAAGGCACTGAAGCAAAGGATAGTTCTTAGAAAGAAACAACATCTTTCATGTCCAGCATGAACTATATGCTTGCTGTACTGACTCTGGAGCAGATAAATGTTTCAAGGATCAGACATCAGAAGTTTTAAAATAAAGCAGGAAGTATAACTGCAACAATGTTGATGATTAATTTTCCTGGAAACTTCATGGTGTACAGTCCAGACAGCAGAATGAATCATGGGGAAAGCACAACAGGTGGGTTCCAGGAAGCAAAATTATTGAAGTTTAATGATTACAGATGTCCCTTATGGGCATACCTTAGTGTAGCATAAAAGACCTCTTTCATAGTTTCTGAAGAAGAAACTCAAATATTTAGTTCTGAACACAAAAGGTCCTTTCTCACCGTCATCATTCCTTTGCAATCAATTATGTTTCTGCAGATTTCCCCAACTCTTATTTTCATATAACAAAATGCGTAGAAGCATGCATTCATACATAGAACTTTTTGTTTCTTTTTAGAAACATTCATTCCTCAGTACCTCTGCCTCCCCAGTAAGCACTACCTCTTTATAGCATTCTTCATCCATTTTCCCACCTTCAGTAACATTATACCAAAGAACAATAATTCATTTGCTTGGTCTAATTTTTCAATTACTATGTATAATTTGTTATAATTTATGCCATTTCCTCTATCAAGTTTTGAGTCATTTATGAACAATCAACAAGAATGGGATAGGAAGGTCACACCCTGTAGTTACACATACAGGTAATCTTTGATTTACAACTGATTGCTTAGTGATATTCAAAGTTATGACAGGGACAACCTGGATTTGAAATTTCGACACTTATCTTCAGCAATTGCATGACCAATCTTTGAACATTCAGCAACTAGGGAGCATTTATGACCATCTGCAGTGTCTCACACTCATGTGACTGCATTTTATTTTCTGAAAACTGGCATTTATTTCTGGTTTTTGGCAAAACTGGCTCATATCAAATCACTGGTTTACTTAACTGCAGCATTTGCTTAATGAACATGGCGGCTGGCATTCATTATGCCATATGGTGGCCATGATGGGAAGACTCCATTTCAGTCATAAGTAGAGGAGTCTCTGTAACTGTTTTAATCTTTTTCAACAGATTAATTTTCAGATTTATACACCATGCTGCATCATATAATCTGCCTCACACTCACTGCAAATAATTTGGCATTGTCCTCATACAAAAACTACTCATTCATTTACATTCTCAATCAACCATACCTCTAACTCATCAGAAACTTTCTGTAACAGTCTATATACATATGGATGAACTATTGTATATGCTTCAATTCCATTACATACCATTCTAATTGCTTCAGCAAGCAACCCCAATTCCACATTCAAGCAAAATATTCCATAATTGAAGTTTATTTTATCACACAATTTCTCATACAAAATTTATTACACATATAAGTTTTTGTATATTTTAAAATTGTTAAAGAAAAAAATTGCTCTGTATATTCTGTACCTGCAATAAACTGCCCAGCATTATTTACATTTTTACTCACAATCATTTCTTTTAATCATAATTCTGCAAAACATTCTTGAGGACAATTAATAAGCTAATGTTCCATTAGTTTTTGTATTCACTCTTGCTTCTTTTTTTAATTTATATGGGAAAAATAAAGTTATTATTCCAATTATCGCAGTTACAATTTTCATATACACGATAAAATAATTGCATAAACAATTATATAATTTATACCTGGTTCCTTACTATTTTTCAACGTTCTCATAGCATTTATGATTTCCTTTTTCCTTGGATACTCCCATGTACAACATTTCTTTCTTTCCACTCTTTAGCTTAACATCATCATCCCTACAGGAGAAATTTCTAAAATACTTCTTGAAGTAAACTCAAATTTCAGTTTTATTCTAAACCATTTTTTTATTTTTAAATGCATTTTCTCTGCTGGAGTCTCCTTGTTGAGCTCTGTTCATCTCTCTACTATTTTTCTTTTAAAATACATTGTACAATCTATTTCATCCTCATTTTTTCCAGCAACTATCCTCTTACATTTTTCTCATCCACTGATTCCCTTTTTCACTTCATCATTCACAGAAGTCCTTTTCATGGTTCATGTGAATAACCACATATTTTCATTCTGTTCCAAGCAGCTTCCACATCGTTCTTTCTTTACATCTAGATTCAATTGTCTTAATACTTTTACCTATAAGACCAATACTTTTTCTTCCTGCAGCTGTCCCACTCCCACTCTAGTTTCTTTTCTTTTCTTTTCTTCTATGTCCATGTTTCAAGATCTGCTCTTATAGACCTGCCTCCTACTAAACTCTTGAGTCTCAGAGAACAAATTTACTTCCTTGAGCCCAGATAACTGGCTTGGAGAAGCTAATAAAAAACAAAACAAAAATCTTAGAACGATACCACTCTTCTACTCCCAGAATGACAACTTATCTATTCTTACAGAAACTGTGCGACTAGGGAAAATTTCAAATTACCCAGTGAAAAGAGAAAGTAATGTTTAAATATTTTCTGGCATTGAAGAAACACACCTCAGTAAGAAGAATAGGATGGGGGAGGTGATAGCAGACAACTGAAACAGAGTTACTGTATAACTGAGTATATTAATTATTGCTTGATTACCAGATGTACTTCCTTATGGTTACGTGAATAGGAATTCCCCCAAGTTTGAGTAAACAGAAAAGTATGTTGATGTAATTTTTACTGCCACCATAGCTGATTTAAAGGGCATCAGTTATGGAGATCAGAGATTCTGTCACTACAGATTTAATGAAGGACAGCTTCAAGGCACTAATTGGTGGGTTATTCAACTTCTTTTTTCTCTGAGCCAGTGTCACCAGCTGGCAGAAAAAACAATCATCAATCATTCTCCATTTATGAGGCACAGCTTGGGATTCCCTATGCTCCCTCCTGTTTATCTTGCAACCCTCCTATACCCTATCATATAGCCAGATGGATTTTCCTCTCATAGAACTAGCAATTCTAACAAAACAAAGTACAACCTGTCAATTGGGATGGAACTTGCACCCAGATCAACAGATTTTTATATATACACACACACACACACACACACACACACACACACACACACACACACACACTAGGGCCACCAAGTGACCACCAAACCACTCCCACCAAGACTGATAGGACAAGCCACTAGTATATAAAATGAGAGCAAAACCCACACCCTACTAGCATTGATGATGTTATCTAGTTTGGCAATGAAACATCTGCAAGAAAACAAGTTCAGAGAGCACTAAGGACCCCACAATCCTGAAAGGCATTGGTATGCAAATGTAATATTCAATTACAAACTGACCTAAAAATCTAACATATTATATAAATAGGTTAGAATCCTACTTAAATCCATTAAGATTATGGATATAGACTATAATGCAATGTAACCTAACAAGGTAGTTCTTGAGCGAAATTAGTTTTCTAGTAATTTCCTAGCTCAAAAACAGCAAAGTACAATCTGGATGAGACAGATAGCTCTGATAGAGTCTAATACAGTCCATAAAGTTGTGATGGCTCATTGTCTTAAAAAAGGAAGGCTAGTGTTTACAGTTAGATGTTTTGCAACAATTTATTTTTGTATAGGATTTTGCTTTTGAATAGTTTTTTCCTTTGAATGCAATGCAATCCAAAACTTTTTAAATATTATACACTTGTTAAAGTATTCTCTCTCTCTACATGTCCAGATACACATACATACAAAAACACACACACAATAAATCTTGATTGTAAAACATAAATCTTTGTGTTTATCACAGCAATAGATTTGCAGCATGGCATACATAAATGCAAAAATATATTATGTACAAATTTTTATTAGCATGGCATTTATTTTAAAAATTAATAGGTACCAACAATTGAAGAATCTGGAATTATGGTAGCATGCATGTCTCTTGTCATATTTGACTTTTCTTTCAACTTTGATTGAAGTAATGTGTGTTCCACTACGCCAATTCGTATGTCCATCTGAATGGTTTCTTGTTTCAGTTTGGTTAAAGCCTGTTTTATCTTCACTAATGGAGCTATTAAAGGAAAATGTAAAAAACAGTACATTTTTTTTCTTTCAGTTTACTTCACAAAGTTATTATTCCCCCATGATTCAATCTCTTTTAATCAAAGTTAAATGAACAGAAGAATGACAACATTCTGGAATCATTTTCCATTTCATATCAAACCTACTTAGAAAGCATAATGTATTTTCCATCTAAATGACATTTTAGAACTGAAGATATATATTAAAAATGTACATATATTCCCAGCAGTTATAAAGATAACAGAGAATGTTCCATTTGAAAAATGCCTGCATATTATCTCACTCTATTTTTATCAACTTTATTTACTTTTATCAATGTCTTCAGAATTAAATAACCCCTCCAATCTTAAAAAGATTACAAAGATGATTCAGCAATAAACAAGAAATTTGTTACATCTTAATTCCAGACAACAATTAGGTTTCTGGAGATATAAAAATAGAATTAAATTGCAACCAGTATCTTCTATTTATTTTTCACAGCTGAATATCCTATTTTTGTACCTGTTATTCAAATTAAAATAGCCCAGAAGTCAGCAATGTCAAAGCATTTCTATTATGTTGCCAATAGTCCAGGTGTGTCCATCAAGAGCAAATACATTATGATATTTTACTGTATCTGGAGAAAAAAAATCTCAAGAAAGGACTTCGGAATGCCTTACCTCCATCAGTCATACTGCTTCCCTTTTCTTCCATTTCTTGTTTTACTTTCTCTAATTCTTCAGTAATCTTAGAAAAAAAAAATAACAGGTTATAATACTTTCACTTTGAAGTTAAGGATACCTCCTTCTCTTCTACACAAAAAAACAGAAATTTCTTATCACTATTAAATTGTTGTTGGGGTTAAATTGACTTCCTTTTGCTCTGTGAAAATGCCAGCCTAATATAAAAATCTTATTGATATCACAATTCAAAAACAGGGTACCAGGTTCCAACAAAGTCAACCTAAATTCATCAGAGAGCAAACAGGGAAGCTAGGAGTATAAAACAGAGCAGAATGATGAAATACTAAACTCACTGAAAATAATGAGACTCAGCTTACTGGAGTAAAGTCCCCATATACTGTATAGAGCAACACAAATAAAAAAATTGTGCTAAAATTGTACTGTGAAAATACCTTGATTCTAAAACAGTTTATGACCCCCCAAGGATCCAGAGCTGGAGACTTTCCAGATTGGTTCTGGGTGGGGCTTTACTTCCTCTCTCAGACCTCTGTACAATTTTAGAGGTCCTCCTAGATTCTATATATTGCCTGAAGAACAGATGGGAGACATGCCAGGAGAGCTTTGCACAACTTTATCTTGTGCTCGAATTGTAATCACTTCTAAATCATGTCCTTGGAATACTGCATCCAGTTTCGGTCACCAGGATGTAAAAAAGATGTTGAGACTCTAGAAAGAGTACAGAGAAGAGAAACAAAGATGATTAGGGGACCTGGGGCTAAAACATATAAGGAACGGCTGCTGGAATTGGGTATGTCTAGTATAATGAAGAAGGATGAGGGGTGACCCGAGAGCAGTGGTCCAATATCTAAAGAGCAGCCACAAAGAAGACAGAGTCAAGCTATTCTCCAAAGCACCTGAAGGCAGAACAAGAAGCAATGGATGGAAACTAATCAAAGAGAGAAGCAACCTATAACTAAGGAGAAATTTCCTGACAGTTAGAACAATTACCAGAGGAACTCTCTTTAAGAAGAGCGTGGACAGCCATTTGTCTGAAATGGTTAGGGCAGTGGTGGCGAACCTATGGCACGTGTGCCAGAAGTGGCACTGAGCCCTCTCTATGGGCACACGTGCCATCGCCCCAGCCCCGCCTCCCCCCATGGCCCCCTCACCAGCAGACCCCCGGAGATGAGTCACCCCTGGGCATGGCCCGTGCACAGCAGCCCAGCCAAGGACATGCAGCCGGGCAGTGGGGACAAGACTCTGCCCTTGCACCTCATCGCACGCAGATGATGCTGTGGGGCGTAGGCAGAAGGCATGGCTGCCATGGCACTGCAGGGCCACCTGGGGAGGTGGGTGGGTGAGAATGGGGTGGTTTGGGGGCATTCGGTATCTAAAAGGTTCGCCATCACTGGTATAGGATTTCCTGCCTGAGCAGGGGGTTGGACTAGATGACCTCCAAAGTCTCTTCCAACTTATATTATTATTGTTGTTTTGTTGTTGTTATTATTATTCCCTGCTTATGGCCACTCATGTGTTGGCCTTCTCCCAAATAGACTTCTACAATGTGCTGTACACGGAGTTCCCTTGAAGACCATCCAGAAGCTACAAATGATCCAAAATGCAGCAGGATATGTATTAATGAAACCTTCAGTACACAAACGTAATACCACTATTTTGTGAGCTGAACTAAGTTTTTAGGTGCTGCCTCTGGACAGTGGTATAGACAGTAAGGAAGATGATCTTGATAGAGATATGTAGATTCCATTTCTAGACAAAAGGGGCTGAAGCATTTTTAAAGATAACATTTGGAAATGATTTAGATGTTTCTCTAATTCACATAGGTATATGAAGGAGGAGGAAGTACAGCACAATCAAGCTTACATGATTTTGTTACTATAGCCACTCTTTTTTTTTTTTAAAGAAATTTTAGCATTCCTGTGGAGTTGATTTTTTTCATTGTAGCTACCTGGTGGGGCTCACAAGCATCACTTCAAAAATCTACATGGCTCCCACCCCATATTCTGAAACTTGACTTTGCTCCAAAATGTAGGAGTAGGTTTTTTTTTAAGGTATTGCATTACTTCCTTCCAGACTTTCATTATCTTTCTCTTTTTGTTTATATTATTCTTGACTTTTAAATTATAGGGCTGCCAAAGTCATCTGGAACTGGGCAGTTTCTGAATTTTATAAATTAAATAACTAAAACAAATTTATAATAAGTCTTACATAGCACAGGCTGGGTTATTTGACAAACTATATAAAAGATGAAAAGGTTTCCTTGTCAGTTGTGTCCGATACTTGCGCATAGTGCTCATCTCCGTTTCTTGGCCAAGGGAGCCAGTGTTGTCTGAAGACAATTCTGTGGTCATGTGGCCAGCATGGCTATACGCCAAAGACCCATGGAACTCTGTTACCTTCCCACGAAAGTGGTACCTATTAATCTACCTGCATTTGCATGCTTTTGAACTGCTTGCTGGGCAGGAACTGGGACAAGTAACAGGAGCTCACCCTGTTGCATGGAGCTCGGGTCTCGAACCCGGGCCATCAGCTCTCCAGCATCTCCATTTATTTCTGCCTGTTCCTCTAGGTATTATAGGATGGGCATGTTCCAGAGATCATCTCTTTGAGATAATGTCATCTAATGGGATCCATGAGATATGCCTTCTCTGTTGTTGTGCCTTTTCCTTACTCTGGAACAAGCTCCCCACTGATATTTGGATGTCGGTAATTCTATTAGTTTTTCATAGAGCCACGAGAACCTGTTTTTTTCTTTCTTTTGCACATTGGGCCAGGATGGTAACTGAGCCTTTTTTGCTTTGAGACCAAGTGCTTATTATGCTCAGCCTTAACTATGTGTGTGTTATGAAACTAATATGACAAAAGTTATTTTAAAATTGTGATTGCTTTTTATTTGTATTGATATACACTATCCAGAATCACAAATTATGAGTTGTGTGGCTTTATATGTTCTCACATACATATAAATATATTTCCTACTCATTTGAAAACTTTATGGAGAATGGACCCTGACTTGCTTTATTTTCTCTGTTTTTTTTTAATCCATTCTCAAGAACTAAAAATGAGAGAAGTAGCAGGTCAGGTTAAAAAAAAACCTTCACTTACTGAAGAATCAAGCTCTGTTTTGAAAACCATCTCCGAACCAGCATCATTCATCTCTAAAGTTGTTTGTTCTCAAAGATCAAGAAATCTTCTGGGTTCAAATATCACACATACATAAAGTGGTGTGTTTAGGGTTGCATTCTGTAAACCACATGCAGCCTTTTTGAATTATATTTAATTTTTTAGAGCAAGACAGTTAAGTGAGTTCTGTCCCATTTTACAACCTTTGTTACCTCTGTCGTTAAATAAGTCACTGCAGTTGTTAAGTTAGTAACAGTTGTTAAGTGAATCTGACTTCCCCATTAACTTTTACTTGACAGAAGCTAACAAAAGTTGATCACATGGCCCCAGGACACTGTAACTGTCATTAATACATGCCAGTTGCCAAGTATCCAAATTCTGATCACATGATCATAGGGATGCTGCAACGGTTTTAAGCGTGAAAAATGCTCTTAACTCACTTTTTCCAGTGCTATTATAACTTCGAATAGGCACTAAATTAATGATTATAAGTTGAGGACTACTACTACTAGAGGACTAGAAACAGTGTGAGTGTTGGAATACAAGAGATGGGAAAGCCACTAGAAGCCAAAACTGTGAAAAATATCAGCAACAGCAGCTTGAGAAAGGAAATTTTGTTCTTCGAGAGACTTAACATCTGGCTGTTGCTGTTGTAGCAACCTCTACAACCTGGCACAATCTTGATTGTAAAAAGCACAGAAAGTTGCTAGAATATCTGCAGTCTAAGAGAAAAAAAGACCATTATCCTTCCTTAAGTAATGATTGCCTGTTTTCTTATCTCTTAGATGCAGTATGTGGTGTTGAGAATTTCTGTTTATAGAAGGGCTAGAGATACTCAAGTTACATTATGCATATATACATAATGTCAGCAGTTTTGATTTTTCATTATTTTCAGTAGATTCCCCAAAGTAAATCTGCCATTTGGCAAGATGCAGTGGCCAGTTCAAGTGGGAGATAAATAAGATTACTTAGCTACCACAACCACCTCAGAGCAAGGTATTCCAGCTGGCAAGAGACTGTGGGTGGAAAGAGCAGTATTGCTGTGGCATTCAGCCAAGTCAAACAGATGGAGAACAGGCTGGCTGCAGCAGCACTGGGTTTTTTTATGAGATTCTGCCTCAGTGCTTAATAAAGTAAACATAATTTAAAATCAAGTGAAAATGGAAAAGGGTAAATGAATCACACTCAGATAACTGACCCCTGCTGAGGAATACATAACTATGACATTTTTAATTTTTTTTTTTAAAAAAAACCCTCTTCTAATATTGCAAACTATTATACTGAAGCCCACAAAAATTCAACAAACTTAGGAAGGTATATGAAAGGCCTACTACATACTAAAAACTAAGGTGATAGCTAAAGTGGAAGAAATACAGAAATCATAGTTAATATATTTTCTCAAGTTTAGTATAACTGAAAGAAAGAGCGTCATTGGAAGAATAAAACTACTTCAAATTGGAAATTTATGAATATGTGAGAGAAAGTGGTTCCATAGCCAAAACAGCACCGTGTCTCTGAATTTCACATGCAACAGCAATAGCACTTAGACTTATATATCACTTCATAGTGCTTTATAGACTTTCTAAGTGGTTACAGAGTCAGCATTTTATTGACCTTAGAAGGATGGAAGACTGAGTGAACCTTGAGCCATTAGGATTGAACTCCTGACAGTGGGCAGAGTTAGCCAGTAATACTGCATTCTAACCACTATGCCACCACAACAAACCTTTTCAATCTCATTTATCTATGATGGTAATATCATGTTCAGGGGCTTTTTCACAAGGTTGCTATGAATTAGAAATCTTGCTTTAATAGCTCATACTTTAATGGCTCTGTTAAAAAAAGGATTCATACCCAATGTTTCCTTCATCTACTGACATAACCAAAACACGTGCATCTTGTTCAATTCTTCATGCAGAAGAATAATCAAGAATACAAAGTAGATAAATGAGAAAAGTCTATTATATAATTTGATTTGATGAAACACCCACCAGAGACCCTGCCTTTTAGTCATGTGAAGTTATATTGTATTCATTTATTTAATATTAAGATCTTATAAAATTTAAGTTATTTGAAAAGGAAAATCAGTAATTCATTCATCCTGAACCATTTCACAGAAGCAGAGTACAGTAAATCATTTAATTGAGGTCAGTGAACTGGCTTCAGGGAGGGAACTGACAGAAGTGGATTTCTCAAGTGGCCATTCAAAGTGCTCTAAATTTCAAATTTGTACAACATGTAACAACTCAGCCTTCATGAATACTTCAGGATAAATTAATTGCTTACTTTCAATCAGGCATCCAAAAGTTAGACACTCTGCCACAAACATGCTAAAACATCATATACTATGGACTGAAGTAGTGGCCTATTTTAATATAATGAAATTTTATTTATTTATCATATTTATACAGCTGCCTATCTTATACAATATGACGTTGGGCAGTTAATGGGAAAAAATTCCAATATAAATTTGATAAAAAAAATACACACAGAAACCTCACACAATTAAAAACCATCATCCTCTAAACAAGGCACCATAATAACTACACAATATTACATATACTGGCTTAGTTCATATCCTGGCTCACCACCTCAGCGAACAGCATGTATTTATGTTCTTTACCGCACTTTGAACATACCTAGACTCTGGCACCCTTCAGATGTTTGTTCAAGCATACCCCATCCAGCCTGGGGTGGTAATGATACTCACTTCAACGTCTAAGTGACACTGCATGCTGATGGCTCATCACCCAAACTGCCAAATGACCTTTTTCAGTGGCTTTATACAGAAATTAAATAACACTGGGAAGATCATAAAATCCAATGGTACCCTATACCGGAACAAACATGGTTTCAAACATCACATTTCATGATTACAGCCTGGAAATGCCCACTGACAAGCAGAACTACTAACTTCCAGCCCTTGTACACAGTCCAGCAAGATACCATGGTCAATTGTATCTAATTTTCCAAAAACCATAATGGGACCAAGAGAATAGATTCCCCTATCAAGAAGAAGATTATCCTTCAGGGTGACTGATGCAATTTCTATCCCCTGACCAAATCTGATACTGACTAGCAGGATTATCTGTAGCTGAATGTTACATTAACAACAACCTTCCTCTAAAAAAAGAAGCTTGGAAACTAGGAGAAAGTTGTCAAAAATAGCTGGGTTAAGGGAGGTTTTAAAATACCTAGGTTAAGGAAGAAATTCCTTTTTAAAAAAATAAATAAATCATAATCCCCTGTCCAAGAGAAACATCGACATTTTTCCTGATCCAGCTGATCATCCTTCACCAAGCATCTGAAGGAATCAGGTCAACATGGAACAAACTGACAGATAGCAGAAATCTACTACAGGGGATCTTAATCACTTATTTGGAGTCAATAAGCTCAAATAAATACTGGATAACACAAGATCCCATTTCATTAATCACATTGGATTCATTCTAACTAGAGCATATATGAACAAATTTAGCTGCCCAAAAATGCTTAAAATCAACCAGTAAACCTGAAGGTGTCTTCTCCCACACAGACTTCACTAAATGTTCTTGATAACATGAACAGAGATACCAGGCAAGAAACTTTGGGTGAACAACCAATGTTTTGCCACTCTTATTACAATTATAGAGCCTTAAGGCTTGAGCCTTATCAGTTGCAGTCACTTCAGATTTTGTGCTACCATTACTCTGGGCATCTTTTCAATTGTTTCATTTCCCTCAGCACAATAAACATATGGAATCAGTGACTGAGAAGAAGCCTTCAAGGACTAATTTTATTGAATATTTTGGCTGTTTTCATATCCCAAAGGTTGACTAAATCTGAGATAGAACTGCCTGACAAATTGTCAGGAAAACTTCCAACAACTCTTTGGAAGCCATCAACTTTAACCATGCAGAAATCCAGGATAGCCATGAAACCCACCAACAAAGAAGCAATCTCGATAGTGCAAAGGACAGATGTCACTATTCTCCATTTCCAGATTGATCTGCTTAAATGATGATACAGCAGTATCCCACTCACATGTCACAAAGCTGAGATTACTTGGAACAGGCCCATAGTTGCCATGGAGTTCTTGAACTCAGAAGCTGTACCAAAAACTACACCACCACCACCACCACCACCACCACCACCACCACCACCACCCCCCCGTGGTTGGAAAGTGCAGTCCCCATGATTAGCAATCTCTACTAGATTTTTGGAAATAACAAATCCCAGTTTCCACAATTACACTATTATTTTTACCATATTTAAATATGAGGGGAAACACATATGCATTCACTTGATATCTGACATAATACCAAGATAAACAAGTTGTACCTCAGACAGAACTCTTGTCCTCTCTGTCACACCACCACTTCCTTGCTGATATTTCTCTTTGGCCTGTTTGTGGGAAGGAAGAAATATTAGGTTATATTTTAATCAGGTGCAGAATTTCTATGAAAATGTCCCTTTCAGAGGAACAATGCTAAATGTGAACATTTGCTATATTTTTAGAAGTTGAGTTGTAATATAAATATAAAGCATATAATATAAAAGATTCAGCTAGCAATAAAAGCTGCACAATACTTTAAAAAGCAAAATACATTACCTCACTCAAAAGTGCCTGCGCAGAACGATATTCTTGAACCAAATGCTCCAGCTGATTGTTAATATACTTTTCTCTACTGCTAACCTTTTCCAGAGTTCTGCTGATTTCATTATGAAGCTTGTCAAGATAGCCCTGTAAAAGTTTTACAAACATTTTAATTATCACTGAAATCAATTGGGATCCAAAGTTCTGCTGATCTATTCAACAGTTCCAACATGCCCAGTGGAATTTCTTTTAACACTTTTTCATTTGAACATCAATCCATGTTCCATGTCTAAACTAGCTTTGAAAATTGTAATCAAGTTTTAAATTCAGATTTGCAGCATTAGAGAAATACAAAATACAAGAACATTTTGGAAATTCTTTTGGAGCACAGTAATACTATGCTGGAAAAAATATTTTCAAATTTTGAAATACTAAAAATATCCAGCGCTGGGTCCAAAGTAATGTTATTTTTTCTATCCAGCTTAAGTTTACTTGTGTCAAGGAACATAAAATAAATCCTAACACTAAAACACAAGTAAACTCTCTAGTTTCTCAATTATTTTGCATTTGAAAAGTTTAAATAATGAAATGGGATATAGGTTGTTAGACTTTCTGAGTCATTTAATTATGAGTGCAAAATAATCACTATGCACCTGGACTATGTAAACACTTTTATAGCCTCAACAATTATTCATATTTGTTGCTCTGCTTAAAATTAAACCAATGAATACTGTAATAAAAAAGGCTTTGTAATTGTCTGTATCTCAGAATGGGAGCTAACAGTGTACTGTGTTGTAGTGTTCATCTGTTCTTCATAGGTGTCAAAAACTTAATATTAAACATTAAATTCAATTATTAGGAATCCTAAGGTTTTAAAACTTAATATAGATCACACCTTCATCTTGGAGGTTAGCACCATTTAATGATTATTAGCTAACATCTCTTAGAGCAGGAATGTCAAACTGCTGGCCCACGGGCTGGATGTGTCACACGGAAGCCGCGTCCACCCCAGCTCCAGCAAAGGGGGAAAAAGTCACAATAGGTCGCGAAACATCACATGATGAGTTTGACATCCCGGCCTTAGAGGAAAACACTGATAATCTCAAAACAGTGCAGAAATTTCATTTGTAAGCAAAACCTTGCAAACATGTCCAAAACCAGTTACTTACAGAAGTCTCCTAAAATAGGCATCATATAAAAACAGCTTGTTGACAGAGACAATTCAAAATGAAAAGAAATGCCTCGGGGAGGGGGGGGGATACTTTTTATTCTGTAGAAGTGGTTTCAGAGAGAAAGCTGATATTATAGGCCTTGACAATCCTTGATGGAAATAATGTAACATAATGTTGTAACAATAATATTGTAATAATGCAACAACATACTACAACTATTTAATAGCATGCAATACCTGAATTGCCACAATCTGATTCAGAATGCCACTTTTGAATTACACATCAGACTTACACGGGTATCTTTTAAAGCTGATTCAATTCCATCTTGGTGCTGATGCATTTGATCCACGTGGATTCGCCAATCCTAAATTAAAATTTGAAAAAGTTCAGAATTTAGAAAGAACTACTAAACAACCAAAGAAATTTAACATCACCAAAATCACTTCTAAGTATGCAGTTGATAGGAATAGGTTTGAACTGCTGGAAACAGCTGAGAAGATGCCCGATGTACTGTGGCAAGAATTTCAATAAACTATCACTGATCAACTATCAAATAACAGTTGAACACATACAAGAAACCAGAACAATGCAGAAGTGGCTGTCAGATGAAACCATCAGAATAGCCAAAGAAAAGCAGTCAAAGCAGTACAAAATAAAAGGAGGCAAAGAGATTGAATACAGATTTTCAAAGAGCAGCAAGGAAAGACAGCTAAGTTTACTGAAACCAGAATTGCAAACAGCTAAAGGAGGACTGTATGAAGGTCCATGCCAAGAATGCATTTGTGCAAATCAAAAGGATTTGAACACCATTTACTGCTCATAAAAACATCATCTAAAACAAGCAAAGGAAAAAAACTGTCTGACCAATGACGTGTCAAAAATAGATAGCTTCAAAAGGGGCACTCATGACCATATTACAAATCTATTTTAGATCATGGAAAAAAATCTCAAGAATACAAGAAAGCCTTTGACTGTGTCAATCAAGACAAGTTGTGGAGAGTCCTAGAAGATTTGCAGGTGACAACAGATCTGTCAAGTTGGTGTAGTTGCTGTACACAAATCAGGAAACTATTGTGCCATGTGGAAACACTTATTGGTTCAGGATAGAGAAAGGAGTGCAGCAAGGTTGCATTCTTTCATTTTTTTTATTCAGCATATGCTGAAGTGATCATGAGGAAGCCTGAACTGGAAGAATTAAAAATCAGAGTAAAAATTGGATAAAGGATCACTAACAATCTTTGATATGTTGATGATATAACTTTCCTCTTAGAAACCAAAATCCTGAAACATCTGATCAGAAGGATTAAAGAAAGAATTTGGCCTCTTCCTGAACATCAAAAACAAAAAAACCCACATAACCACTGCGAAAAATGGAAATATCAAAATAATAATTGATGGTGAAAAGATCAAAAGCATGTAAGAATTCATTTTCCTAGGATTGCAGATTGATCAAAGCAGGAACGCAGCCCAGAAATAAAGCACTGAATTGCAGTGGGTTGCTCAGCAATGATGAACATGAATTGAGTATGGTATAGCTAGATATCAGCACATCAGCCTGGAACTTAAATGCAGATTAATTCACCCAGTTGGGTTTTCTGTATGCATCTGCAGTTGCGAAAGTTGGATCATGAAAAAAAACAGACAGTCTACTTGTTTGAGCTGTGGTGCTGAAAAGCTTCCTGCACATTCCTTGAACAATAAAGATGACAAACAATAAAGAATATAAAACCAGATGTATTGTTGGAATCATAAAATTCATAATTCCACCTTACTTATTTTGGCTATAAACGTTTTACACATCTCAACATTTCTCCATGCCAACCCGCAAGTAACATGGTACAGATTTGCAAAGAAAAATCTTTAATATATAGTGCCTCAATTGACAACTCAAAGTGCACATTTTAAAGATGACAAGTATAATTATAGTAACAGGAAGTCACATAATTTAGCAGAAACGTTCTGAATAAAAATAATAATTGAAGGTGTGGGAAGGCAACAAGAAAGGAATTGCAATACTTGAATAAACTGGATAAAGTGTAATCTCTTTACTATCTAAAATAATAACTACTCTGATTTCCTAGAATATATTCTGCAAAGCTGCAGTTATCCACTGACTGCGCTGAATGAGGGCTTGAGCAATCACTATTTTTTCTGCCTGCACTGATTGTAATAACGATGGGCAGCAATGAAAACTTTAATACTGGATGCCAAAACACAAGTCACATTTGACATACAAAATAGCAGCAACGTGATTTAGTGATTTCCTTGATATATAGAGAGAATAATTCAAATACATGATTTCAACACTCCACAGAAAAGAGAGACATTACAATTCAAGAGATGAGTTGAGTGAGGTAAGCAAAAGCTGAATTGCCAATGTTGATTAGAAATAAATAGAAGAACCAGAATAAATGGAACTGATATGGTACATTTAAACATAGTTAGACAGAGATGAATAGTTAGGGGTGAGTGTGTAAAAAGATTCAGTTAAGAGGGCCCCAATAAAGAGTCAAGCAATTACAAGCAAACAGGTAAACAGCATAAAAATAGTAGAGTTAAGACATGGCTCAATAGAATATATTAGGCAAAGCAGTAGTCCTCACTTAACAACCATTCATTCAATGAGAGTTTGAAGTTACAGAGGTACTGAAATAATGGTAGTTATGGCAGATTGAAATTTGGGCACTTGGAATCTTGTCTGCATTTACAATTACAGTGTGTGATTCAACTTTCCCTCATCCACCTATCTCTCCCCATCTCTGCCATTTGGTTATCCTGCATTCTACCACTGCCCCCAGTTGATCTTCTTCCACTGCTGATAAAACATGCCTGACTGAGATAGCTGCTGGCCCTTCCTGAGCCAGAGGGGCCGTGAGCAAAGGGGAGCATGACAAAGCAGGAAAAGTGTAAGGTCCTCACCTTATGATGGTGCACTTCTCACCTACTGATCACAACTGAACTACTGGAACTGCTGTCACTAAGTGGTATAATCACATAATGTTTTGCTTGAGTGATGGAAATTCTGGTTTTAATTAGGGTTGTTAAGTGATGACTACCTATACATAGCAGCCATGGGAAATCAGTGAATATTCTAAGCCTACTGAGTAGTTTTAGGCTAATTAGTAGATCAAAATCCAAGAGGTGCTGCTTAAGAGCACTTCCAGTATTTTTAAATCTTAAAAGAATGAATTTGAGGATTCAACAATGAAGAAGTTTAAAAAATAACAAGGTGCAAACATGTTTTGATTCCAAACTAATATTAAACATTAGTAAATCAACAAGTTTTTCCTCAGGGGAAACTGAGGAAACTGAAGTTAAATGAGGCCATCATTCTAATCATATTTGACACTCATAAAATTTACATGTCTTCAGTTGGTAATGAAAGTTAGGGTACCTAAATGTTATCTTAATGCCTCTAAAAAAATCTATTCACACATCTGCACAACTTTCAGTAAAAACTTTGTGTTCAGCAACTGCAGCATGTTTATTCTGGAATAATAAATTCTTTATTTGTAGATTCTTACCTATACTAGTTGTCTGATATTAGTCAAGTATAAAGTTCCTTTATTTTTAATTACCTTACTTGGCAGAGGAAAAGACAAATGGGAAAGACAAATTCTGAAAGCCTGTATATTTCACAGATATTATGAAAATAACTGATGCAAGAAGGTGTAAATTTCTTCCTTTTCCTTATATTAGCATTTTAGCAATTCTCCCTGACTTTCACACATATAGCGCTTCATTAATATACAAGCACTTGTGGAAATGTTCATGTGATGCCTTCTTTTAGCAGAGAAGTTGCTGGCCTACTTTCATAATGCCTAAACAGAGTATGCATGCACATAGGTAGACTGTTTCTGAAAGATGACGTGCTAACTCACTAAACAAGATCTTCCTTACCTTATTATCTGTTCTGATTGTAACTTTCAACTGAGGAAGAACACGTTCCACTTCAAGATTCCACTCAGCTGCATCTACTTTAGATTCTAAAATCTCTTCCTGTTTAGGCTCAAGCATGTCCTATCAAAATATTGGTATTAAACACACTAATGAATTATCACATTATAAAATGTATTATACCCAACCTATACGTAATTTCAAATCTGTTTCGGCAACATAAAGACTAAAGGATGATTTGCCAGTTGTAACAGTACAAGCAGTTAACACTTTACAATTGCTTTTAAAGTACAACACAAATAAGCAGCATGGGTAAAACACACGCACACAGCTCTGCTCACGTGAACAGCAGCAGCTCAGGTGCACATACGCAGTTCCATTTGTGTAAGCAGCAGACCAGCGCACACACTTGCACGCAGCTCCACTTCACGCAAACAGTTGGCGCACATAAGCTCTTGCGGCCCGGTTCCCGTTTCCCTCCCCCAGCCGGGCCACCATGCCACAAAGGTTGGGAACCGCTTTCTAAATGGATATCAACTGACTGTTTGACATGGACAAGGCATGATATTCTTATAGCTCATATTCTTTTTGTTTGCTTTGTAAAAACTGTATCAGGGGGAGTCAAAAGAGAGAGAATTCCAATTATAGACTGGTATTCATCCATTAATGAAGAGGATGCCATACATATAATTGTGCATTTCCCTTCATTCTTCTCTGTCATAGCTCTTTTGATTATCTGTACAACTGTCCAAATTTTATGAATGCGGAACACTTCCCAGATAATCATAGGAAATTGTACAGAGTTACTGAAAGAAGCGGACACTTCACACAAGCAGCAATGCATTGTGTCTGCAAATCAATACTTTAATATCTAGCATATTAGTGCTAACTGAACAAAACACTTACTGATTTGTAAGTTTGTGCCTTTAAAACATTCAGATCAATATAATTTTCCTCATTGTCTGTCTCTTCTTCCTTAAAAACACAGAAAATATTTTTAGCAGTACAATCAACATTATGATTTAAATATTATTCTCTGAATGCCATCACAAATTATTTTAGATGAAACAAAGTTTAAAATGCTATTACGATCCAAAACTATACAATATGCTACTCACAGGACTTTTTGTCAAAAGCACTGCTTTAGCAATCATTCCCAAAACAGTTTGCCCTTTGTTCCATTAAAATATCCCATTATAGCCAGTTCATGTAAAACAAGGATAGGCAACTTGATGACTTCCTGATATTTTTTACTTCAATTCACATCAGCCCTAGCCCACACTAATAGTGAAAAAAGGATTGTAGCAGATGCTATTCAAAAGCTAGAGGACATTAAGCTTATTTTAGATATAAGCCATTTGTGAAAAGTATTGGATTCCCCTGTCAAATGTATTTATATGGACGATGTGACATGAGAGCCAAGAAGCAACAACGACAACAACAAAAAAACAGCTGGCAGGAATCCAATCATAGTGACACGTGAAAACCTGGTACTATTTTGACAAGAATTGCTGCCAGCTACATCAATGATTTTTTTATTTCATGTATTAATTTTGACTATACAACTGTGTGTGTGAGACAATTCAGTCAGCAAAATAAGACAAAAATGGTGCTTTGGCATTTAAATATGGAACATTTTTTCTTTTTTCTTTATTTATTATCATAGAAAATAAAATACAAAATAGTAAAACAAACAGAATGAAACAAAACAAAAGCATACCTTCAACCCTAACAACAAAAAAGAAAAAAATAGTGTACAAAAAAAATAGATTTTTTTCTAAAATTATATGGGTATTATAGAATATCCTCATTTTAACAGACTAATTGGGAAGATGGGATGACCATTACTCACAAAGATGCATTAAATATTTGGTTTATTGCATCTAGGCCCACTAAATCAAGGCTTCACTATATTCCTTCCTAAGTGAAAAGACAACTGCACTGAACCGCTAAATTTGAAACAGGACAAGTAGAAGAGTGGAGCCTATATATTTTTGGTAGGATAGTGGGGCAAGAAGTGAATTTTTCAATGCTCACTTACAATTAAAAAAACCCAACACCCAATTAAAAAATTATTCTTGGCTAACTTCTATTTATAGGTTTTAAAATGCATTAACAAACAAGAAAAAATAATTCACAAAGCACTAATCCATTCTTCTATTTTAGAACTTGACCATTACATCTCTATGCTGCCTATAAATACAAACCTAATTTGTTTTCTCTGTGTTACCTCAAACACATTTAACTTATTTTAGTTCAAATATATATCCACACATCAGTCATTTTCTCACTTGTTGTTCAACCTAGTGCTAAACTGAATTCCTAGACACAAAAGCTTATAAAAATATTTACAAAAATTTAAAATTGAAAACAATCCACTAGGGAGTGAAAAATAAAGTCTCTTAATAGTCAAACCTACTCAACATCATATATACATGTCTGATGTTGTGTGCACCTATACACACACGCACATATACACACATGTGACCTACCCTGAAAATAAGCCCTAGCTTGGTTTTGGGAGTAGGCCTAATATAAGCCCTCCCCCAAAATCAGCCCTAGCTTTGGGGTGAGGCGCATGCCTAAAAATCAAGCTAGGGCGGAAAGTCGCTCTACACACCCCACAGCCACTTACCATTGCAGTCAACATCTGCCTCGCCTCGCTGGCCCACTTCTTCTGCAACTGAAGGAAATGCCTCCGTAGCTGAAAATGGAGCTCTGGCCTGCATTTTGCTATCAGAGGCCTTCCTGAAAGGCTTCTGCAATCCGTAGCTCAGCTCTCGCGAAATGCAAGTAGGAGCTCCATTCTTAGCTGCAGAGGCATTTCCTTTGGCCGCAGAAGTGGGTCGGCTGGGCAGGGCTATTGGTGCCAACACCGCCGCGAGGTGAGACTGTGGAAAAGACACAACCCAAAAATAAGGCCTGGTGCCTCATTTGGAGGCAAAAAAAAAAAAAAAAAAAGAGACCAGGTCTTATTTTCAGCGAAACACGGTGTGTGTATGCGTGTGTGCAACAATACAGAAATGGTTGATCATTCCACTCTTTTGGGATATGGAATAGATATATTTTCCATTTTGTTTCCTGCATTATATTTAGATATCAATTGTCTATCCAGTTTCAAAACTAAGTTTTGTTGCACTAAATATGACTTTTTCTGAGTGTTCATGCCGATATAAAACTGAACTATTGAAAACATACTTTTCTTTCCTTCATAACAGTGGGCAATACGTCAAGACAAGTTATATAAACTTACCGCAATTATTTCTTCTATTTTATTAAGGGTTAATTCAGCATCATCTTCTGTTATTGCTTCTTCTTCTAGCTCCTCAGTAGGATATGTAGGCCTTTAAAGATATATGCAATTCTCTGAGACTTATGATTGATATTTGTTTGAATTTAAAGATATAGCACTTTTGAAAATATAGCTTTACATTTATGTGATATGGACAACTTTCTGCCTCATTTTTCCATAATTAGTTAAATAGTGACTGGATGCAATTCCAGCCAAACAATGCAAATAAATTTATAATTCACTTTTTCAGATGCTTATACCAAAATGCATGTATGCATGTAGAATAAAAGTACTATGTCTAAAATGAAAACACTTTGGATAACATATTATATGAGCAGCCATGATTGTGCAAAAGAGTTTTTCTTTCTCTCTCTACAGTTCTCATTCATCTTTGGCTTATAGTCAAATCAATGTAACAAAGTATATACTATTGAGTTAACTACACTATTTACAGGGACCTCCGGTTTTGCACCATAGCGCCCAATTGCAGGATCGCAGACCTCTACACCCTACAGCTAGTTTCGCCCTGCCAGGAGACCCTAAATGGATATAAGGTACCCCAGAGAAGCGGCGAAGAAAAGAAGGGTGCCCCGACAATTCTGGAACGACAGCAGTCGTTTAGCTCGATTCGGGGAAAGCCTTTTAACCCGACAGAAGAAAGGCTAGTCACATTTTGTTGACCAAGCCAAGCTACTTGCAGTCGAAGTCCAAAGGCACTAATCAGGACCAACGTGAACAGCGTGCTTGAAACTGGGTGAGGAATTTGATCTTCTCTTTCCTATTTTATATCTGATTTCCTGGAAAAGTTCCCCAAGAAGCAAAAAGCCTCCCAAAGTGAGAAAGGGGGGATTACCTCACCCGTCTATAGATGGAAGTGGCGAATTAAACCCTTATGGGGAATAAAAATATAAAATACTACAGTTTGGATAAATTTGAAAGCTAAGAAAATTGTTAAAATTCCATACATGAAAAGTTGAAAACTGAGCAGCGACATCTAGTGGAGGATTAGAGAAAACTATAGCAGCATTAACCGGGATTTGGCAAGACACCTAGAAATAGCAAAAAACAGCTGGGAACAAAGCATTGAGCTATCTATTACTGAGTGAAACTACATTATGTTAGAAACTGCTGAGCTTCTGAGATTATAAACACATTGAGCTGTATTCTTAAACCTAAGGACTGTTTGCAGAAATAGAAAAATCTTGGTCTCTGGCTAATCTTCTAAAGGAGAAATTACTGGAAAACATTTAGATCAGGAGTGTCAAACTGTTGGCCTACAGGCTGAACGCATCATCTGGAAGCTGTACCCACCCCATTGGGCAATGGCAATGGCAAAACCATCCCAATACGAGTTTGATATGTCTGTTTTAGATGGTCAAATACTTTGGACTGAATCCTGACTGGTTGATAATTACAAGAACCCTGAAAAGAAGAATTGTCACAAAATATTATTTTCAGTGGTGCCTTGACAATTGGAAACATATTGGATTGTAAAACCATTATATAAAGATAAGAACTATGGAAGATTTGGCTGTTTGGATTTTAAGATGGGTTAGCTTGATAAAGCTAATTAAAAAAATTATGACACCAATGAAAAACTACTTAGAGAGGAGAGATAAAACAGATATTATATACCTATCTAAAAGTGATAGAAAACCAAAAGGTTTCTCCAGTGTGGGACACCAGCAGGTAAACCCTTTCTCCATACTATTTAAATATCTGTACGAAACCAGTGGGAGTTAGTTTTTGAAATAAGGTAGCATAAATAGGATATTATAAATATGTTGATGATAGCTTTACTTTGCCACCCCAGACCACACTGAATAGGTTATATTAATTAGGAAACTGATGGAGCAAAAAGACTAAAGCCTAGTAAGATAGAGTATTGCCTCTGATCATTTGTGTTGTCTAGAAACAATAATTTCAGCGATAGCATTAGACAGGGTTGTACTTTTGCTGAAGAAATAAGTCCATGATTTGAGGATATTTCTGGATTTGGTACATCATTTACAGCACTATTCTGATCAGCAAATCCTAATACTAGTGGCCCAAGCCATAATCATTTCACAATTTGATTACATAATGCTGCATGTAGGCCTGCCTTTGAGGAACACTCAGAAGTTACAAATAATAGTGTTATGTAAGACATATTCTCTGGTTGTTGCACCAATCATCATTATGCTTAATCCTAATTTTAAATGCTGATTATTCCTATAAAGACTTTTATATAAACAAATAAACAAATCACAATCAAATTAACTGAAAACTGTTATATAAAAGTGAAAACATACGTATTTTACATATTTTACAGATACAGTACTGTAAATAACACTCCTACATCATACAATGAAAGAAAAAAGTATTTGATCCCCTGCTGATTTTGTACGTTTGCCCACTGACAAAGAAATGATCAGTCTATAATTTTAATAGTAAGTTTATCTTAACAACGAGAAACAGAATAACAAAAAAAATCCAGGAAAAACGCATTTCAAAAAAGTTATAAATTGATTTGCATTTTAATGAATGAAGTAAGTATTTGATCCCCTATCAATCAGCAAGATTTCTGGCTCCCAGGTGTCTTTTATACAGGTAATGAACTGAGATTAAGAGCACTCTCTTAAAGGGAGTGCTCCTAATCTCAGTTTGTTACCTGTATAAAAGACACCTGTCCACAGAACCAATCAATCATCTAACATCTATCTGTTCCCTTCTTTTCTATCTTTGCACCATTTCTTTTCGTAAATTAGATGGCTCAAAGATTAGAATAGAATAGAGCTGGAAGGGACCTTGGAGGTCTTCTAGTCCAGCCCCCAGCTCAAGCATCATTCAACTCAACTGTTCTGGACAGTTTTTGCCCAGTTTCCTTTTTAGGAAGGTTGTAAAGAAAGTGGTTGCATGGTAGCTTCAGAGGATCTGGGATGTAACTGTTTATCTAGACCCATTTCAGTCAGGGTAAGATACAATACCTTTTCCAGCTAAAGGATGTGTATTTCAAGGCTTCTTCTGCCAAACAATCAAGAACATAGCAAGCTTGTTCTCCATAACCGGTCTTTAACTTTGAGGGAGGAAAATCTACAGTTCTTCCCTAAAGAAGAAGTAAACATCATTAATAGAGATAAAGCTGCATTCAATCAAGTAATATTGTCTATCTTCTCTAAAGTCTTTTTTTGTGACAAGAAACTATGTGTTTATGTGAATCCCCAAATATCATCAATATGGCACATAGGGCTGATTACTTGAGGAACCACATCTACTATAGAAACTGTCTCACTGATTTGATCTTGCAGGATTGAATTAAATATTTAATCAGGTTCCTTCAATTAAACAATGTTATCTATATGGGCCCCAGAAGTGTGCCTTCCCTTTAGCAGTGCCTCCCCTCTGGAATTAAGTTCCCCCCAAGATCTGGATGGCCCCTAGTATTGTTGCTTAAAGAGATGTGATATTTGGATTTGAACTGCTATTGTTCCAGCTTTATTATTTCATACAACTAGCACAAGAGGAAGCAGACAAGAAATTATACCTCCTTGTTTCATTTCCATCCGGTGTATATTTCTTGCCATCTTTTATCTTTTATTCTTACTTTTCATTAGGTTTATTGCAATTTATTTGTTTTGATTGTTGTGAGTCACCCAAAGTTGTTGAGAATTTAATAAATATGCAATTTGCATGAATTCAAATAAAGCACTTCTCAATACATTCAGCTGCAAATAGCAAATCATAAGAATCCAACCCAATATGCACACTAATCAAGTAAATTGTACAAAGCAAACTTATGATTATTATAGTCATTAGCCATACTATTTTAATTTTGTTTTCTAACTGGATACACTATTCTAAAATAAAAGAAATTTTATTTTCTAACTGGATACACTATTCTAAAATAAAAGAAATAGCCAAAGTATCTCAAAATATTTGGGTCAGCTTTCTAGAGATTTTTCATTGTAATGGAGCACAACCAAACCAGAACATAGTCTTAATTCATACATTATATCACACCATGCTTAGGAAAATTTAGCCACAATCTGATATGGTGTCAGAATTGAAAAATCAAGCTTTTCCTTTCAAATCAGAATTAGGCATGATTTTAACTGCGTTTGCAAAGTGCATTAAAATTATTATCACTCTGAAAAGGAAGAATACATAGACAAAGACAGACTGTTTTACTATGCAAGTAGAAAGTAACTGATGAATCCGAACAGGCAAAGAAACAAAAACTACTGAAAAGTTCTATACTTGCAAGCTCATGACGTAGTTTAAATTCTGTATTACAGCTGATTCAGAAGAAATATAGATGCAAGTCATTTAAATACAAATTTGTGTCTGTTTAAATTTCTAAGTATATTATGAGATTAAAATTAAATAACTCAAAATTAAATTTGATCTCCAAACTGCATTTGGTTCTCTCCTCTGAGATATCTGATCTTACTTGGCAACTGGAAAATAGTACAGAAACTAGATTACACTTGGGTTCAGCTGAAATATTATGCAGGTTCCAGTACTAGCATCTTTATTTACTCATATTGAGCACTCCTTACAAATTCCTAAGGGATGCATCTATCAGTTACAGGGCTAATTTACAAGCAATGAGACAGATGATTTGATAATTTTTGCCCAATTAGTCTCTAACTAAGATCAGTAAATTATACACTAGTCATATATATTAGAAACTGGTTTCTGGCTGTTACAGGACCATCTACCAGTTGAGTAAACTCAATTTGGAGTGGAATGCATAAAACATTTGATTAACGCATTATTTTGCAGCATCTTGCTAAAAGGTGCTTTAATTGCCTTCATGGTTTTTTCTGTTTTACTGATCTAAAGACATCTGACTCTGTCCTGATATACGAGGCTATGAATTTTTGCCCACAGCTTTTCTATTCACTTTCAGGGACTATAGGTAATCCTCACTTAACGACTGCCCTATTTAGCAACCGTTTGAAGTTTTGACAGAGCTGAAAAAGTAACTTTACAACCAGTCCTTGCACTTATGACAATCACAGCATCCCTGCAATGACATGATCAAAATTTGAGCATTATGCAAGCTGTGGACATTTACAAACATTACAGCTTCTTGCAACATTTGCATGTTTCACAACTGCATTCCAATAATGGATGAGTCAACAGTAAAACTGCAGGTCATGGACCCATGAGGTCTCACTTAAGAACTGTAGGTGTTTTGCTAAACAATTGCAGTGGGTTGTAAATCTATCAGTCATAAGATATTTCATTTAACAACCGTGTCACTTAGCAATAGTACTGTTGGTTCCAAGTGTGATTGTTAAGCAAAGACTACCTGAACTTTTAATTACCAGATGGCAGGAAAATACTTGAATTCAGACTACATATTGTAGCCTAAGATGCTTTTCTGCCCCTATTCAAACAAGGGCAAGGTGGTATGGGCTCCCAGTTTTCAACATTTACATAAATTCTATAGTACAAAGAATGAAAAAAACTTAGTTGGACTTTTAATGCTTCTACAACATATGTAAGCTAGAACATTTCAACTCTTGCTTTGTATTGCTAATAGGAAAGACTTAGCATCAGTTATGCTGAAACAAAACTAGTAAGAGATATGCAAGTTACAGATAATCAGTAATACTTGCACAAAGCCAATTATGACATTTAAATGTTGTAAGTTACTTTACAATTGTGGATTGCTTGGACACATCAAATAAGAACTGCTATTGATTGCTAATGCTATTTTGCTAGCAACAGAAGTGGTAGCTATGCTTTCTGCTCTACATTTCTAAGGCATAGGTGATTAACCACCTGTTGTATAAATGAGTTTTAAAGACCTTGAAAAATAGCATCATCTATATTTCTAAAAGTCATGCCCCAAATTCTTCAAAATTTCCAGTATATTACTATATCTGGAACGTGGTATACCTGCTTTAGAGGCTTGTTTGAAGGGTGTCATATAAAATTCTGGCTAAAATTTATTTTCAGCAATGGGTCCCTTGGGTCTTCAGGTTTTTTTGGATAACTTTCTATTGACCTAGAAAAATGGCATTATAAGATCGAAGATATTATAGACTCTCAACCTGGTATTGTGGGCTTTAAGAAAGCAATAATGAGTTGGGGTAATGTGTAATTTTTACTGATGATTAGAAAAGATCTGAGCTATCATCTATGGTTTGGTATCATATGGTGGTGGTTTGTCTGGAACATTTTTCACTCCAGTTAATTATCTAATTAAAATTCTGCATTCACCTAACTAAAAAGCCCTTTTGTTTTAACATTGCAGTGCAAGAGGATTTATGTACATGCCTAGAGGGAGAAACTAAGGCAATTATTCATACATAAATTGTGCTGCCCATTCTATATGGCTTGGGAGATATTTAATAACACCTTTCTTAATCAAACACCTTGAATGAGTAGCATATTCTCCAATTACTAATAGAACTAAATCTAGTCATCTTTAGAACAGTTGCTAAATCATATTCTATAGTTATTGTTTTTTTGGAGGGTACAAGTATTATATTATTCATATTTATTTTAATTACATTAAAGTTTTAATATAATCTGATAGTATTTACCTTTTGCACTTATTATGTATAATTAGTAACTGATCTTTTATCATAAATAAAATATATACAAAACCAATTATTTCTATAATTTTCTTAAAAGTCTAATTTGAGTCAAGTTTGATTATATGGCATCTAATTGGTGCAACTATTACTGACAACATAGATTTTCTCCAATACAATCTGTAATTAATCTAATCTTTTCACTAGTGCACCTATCACCACTATAATTAAGTCCACACACCTTGTTGCTGGTCATCCCCCTTTTCCTTCCACCTTTCTGGCATTGTAGACTTATCTAGAGAGTTAGATCTTAATGTGTTCAAAGTAGAATAATTGGCTAAGTTTACTTAAGTTTCAACTGGCTCTATTGTAAACATACAGTGAAACCCTAATGATAGTCATGATATGACTTCACTATACCTTCAATTGGGGTAATGAAACCACTGTCTAAAGCAGAGTTATTTCATTGAAAGACATAAAATCTGTAATCATGGCTTGGCTTCCTCCATCTTTATAATGTTCTGCTACTCCAATTTTAATCCTAATCATTGATAGCCATATCTTGTGAGGAACATTTTAAGTATTTAAATAACAATAGGAGTCAACCTTCTCATGTTCTCAATCATTCTTTCATCCTCCTGCAGTTAGTTCAGAGAGCTGAAATAAATTTTGTGGGTTAAGACACTTGAAGTTTCACCTTTAGTTTACATTCTATAATAACTTAGCTTATCACAGTTCATTATTTGATACTGATGCTGTGTACTTCAATTAAAAAAACTCAATATGAGCATGCAGCCTCCTGCGTCCAAGTAGGGTAATTTGAATCTTGTCATTTGTGCCTTGACAGAATCCTGGGCTGACTGATTTGATGACCCATTTGTTTGTTTTCTTGGCTAGTGTATATCCTCATGAGTCTTCTCCAACACCAAAGATGTTGCTTTTATTATTAAAATTTTGACACTCAAATGTTTTTTAAAAAATCAAAAGCATCAATATATATACTACTTTTTCAAAAGAAAGCTTGTTTTCATCACAAGGAAAGCCAGTGCCTGCACTATTCTGACTTTTGTAGCTATAGATACATCATGGTAGCTGAATATATTTTTTTCAAATCCTTTATTAGAATTCTACCAAATACCAGTCTGCAGTGTATTTCTGGAGCGATGGTTCTTTTACTTGTTGACAGTCCACGCGAAAAGGCAGAAATTATCCACTATTTCAATCTCTTCATTGTCATTTGTACTGTTCATTGCTATATCTATTGTCATAAATTTGATAATATTTATCTATAATATTAGCCCATCATCTTCATTGTGCTTCTTGATTTTCATTACTAAACCCTGCAGATTTGTATTTTCAGGTTTCAGTGTTATCAGCATAGTGCAGGTTACTGACCTTCTTCCTCCAATCCATGCTAATCTTCTTCCAAGCCAACTTCTCTCAGTGTGCAGATAGAATAAATAAGGGGAGAATTTACACTCTCACTGCTTTGCCAAATGGCCTCATTCTGTTTCACCATGTTCGACTGGCCTCTGGCTTTCTGATCTGTGTCTAGATTTCACATATTTCAGGACAATCAGTGGCTCTGTGATTTCAGAATAGAATTATATGCTTAGAATTTTTCTAAGAACATTCCACTGCTTGACATGATTGATATAATCAAAGGTCTTTCTATAATCAATGGAACACATACTGATTTCTTTTTAATATTTTCTGGCTTTCTCAAATCCAATCAAGCTTGTATCCAGATGATTTCATCAACGTCCATATAGTTTTACAGATCACTGCCTTTTCCTGTGACTTTTAATGTATTTATTTATTTTCTAGTTCACCCTACTGCTCATTTCTTAATATTTCCAGTATTAATCAGATCCAATCTTTTTAGCTTTCAAGGTCAGTTAGCTGCTCCGCTATAACGCTTCTTATACTTCACCACTACTCTATATAGTCACCCATTTTTTCTTAAGTCAATATAATTTTTCTAAAATGTAAAAAAAAACTTCTTTTGCAGTCTACAAAGTTATTAGGAATGGTCAAAACAATTCAGAGGTGGTAAACTAAATAGTTTACTTACAAAGGACCGCAGCTCTGCTAGTATGTTAGATATTGTTGCATTTGGGTCATCATATTCCTGTGGTTGTTCAAAAGGATGCCCTGCCTTGTTAATCAGCCAAGCAGCAAGGGTACAAAACATGTAGAACTGTTCACCCGGGTTAATAGGTAATGCAAAATAATGCCTGTTTTAAAAGATAAAGGAGCAGAAATTAGTATGCCTATTTTGAAAAAAAATGTTCTAAAAAGACAATTTCTCTATTTGTACCAGAGTGGATTTGATTTAAATCAAGTCGATTTAAATAATGATTTAAATCACTAGTAAAAAGGCTTGATTTAAATCAACTTGATTTAAATCATAATTTTTAAAGAGCAACTGTCATCTCTGTCCCACAGCGGCTCCTCCTCTGACCAGCTGTTGACTCACCGACAGTCCCATTCACTTTAATGGGATGGCTGGTGATGCGGCAGTGACACAACAAGGTGAGGGATGTGGCGGGCAGCAGGTGAATGGATGTCCGCTAACAAGCGTTGCCATGATGGATCTGAAATGACAGGTGCTCTTTAAAAGTAAGGACTCATTCTTGCTGGTAGATTCTTTAATATTATTATTTGCAAATAAAATTAAGGTTTCCTATTTAGAATAATAAGCTGCCAGGTTAGTAAAACAGTGATATCAGAACCGATTTTGGGTTAAT